TCAACATTTTCAACATTTAAGTAACTGGACAGGTGTAAGTCCTGCCTGAGATGTGCCTAAGGGATGAAAAAAGATTTGCTATAGCGTATTTGGAGGAAGTGATTGGAAGAAACATAATTTCATGTCCTTTTCTCACTATCTGGAAGTTTTCCATAAAGAGTTAACATATAAGAAACACTTGTCAATGCTAATGAATGATGTAGGGAATCAAGCTGAGAACTAAGTCATACAGTAACTGAAAACTTAGATCATTACTTAGATAAATTGCTTGCATGGCATTCATGCCCACTGCTCTTCATTCACACTTAGCACTTTCACCCTCCTGTGTATTTCGTTGCCTCTACTCTGTAGGCCATGGACTAGAGTACAAAACATTTCCCTCTCCTACCTCTCATTAACAAACTTCTGAATGAGGGCACTGCGAGGACCACAGGGCATCATTATCACATCTTTCTCTCACCTGGGTCATAATGAGAAGTATTTCATACTCTCAGTCATTGGGGAGATGGTTTATTTCATGGATTTTATTTTAGCAATGTCTTTGAGGAGTTCACACCCTGAAAACCAAAAGTTGTATGTAGATATGAGACTGAAAACTTTAGCTGATGCAAGGCAATCGAAAGTTTGCCTCCAAATCCTGTCCTGGGTGTTAGAAACACAAATCCCTGAGGAACAGAACTTTTGCCTAATGTTGACTTTTGGCAAAGCCAATTCCTACAAGTGGCCTTATGAGCAACTTTGAAAGAATCACATATACACAAGAATTTTACAGGCCTTAGGAACAATTTCTAATAAATAACCCATGCCAGCACTGAGTTAGGTGCTCTTCACTGGCTAACCCCAAACGTGAAAGTACAAGTTAAAACAGAACCCTCTAATAAGATTAGATGGGGGGGAGGGGAATAGTAGAATACTTTAAATTCTAAAAATATTGAAGTGGCATTTTTGTTCTACCTATTTTTAAGGAACTTTTTCCCACTTGCCTGTCAATGTGCTTCCTGTCCTCTCACAAACTATTCTCTGTTGCCTTTTTGGTATTTATCACAACTCATATTCAGATCCATCTCTATTTATTTACCTGTAGAAGGTTTGTTCCCCTCCCCCATGACTGAAAGCTTAGGAGGATAGAAATCTTGTCTGTTTTGTTCAATACTTTTTCTTTCTTTCTTTCTTTTTTTTTTTTTTTTTGAGAGGGGTTCACTATAGGGCACGTGCGCTCGCTAGACAGAGGGAGATATAGAGACA